TGATTTAGTGTAACTTGTGCGAAAGTAATGCTGGATGAATATTATATCCAAAGATTTGAGGTATTTTATACGTTTACTTCTAAAAATAACTTTCTCTAAGTGATCTTTGTATAATTGAATATGTTTTGATAGAATATGTGCCATTCATTTTAGAAGGTGGACCAGCAAGTTTTTGTTATTAATGTATCTATGGAATATAGATTATTTTTATTATTATAATGTTTATACGATAATTAGAAGGAATCATTTAAAATAATCATAGATTTTAATTTAGTGACTATCATTTAATAATCATATTTTTAGAAGAATTAAATAAATGTTAAAATATTTGTATTCAAAAATATCTTAAATATTTTGATCCTCATTTAAATTTCTATTTTATTATTTTATTCAGATATATGTTTAGAGATAACGGTATACGAGTAATTCTAAATATATCCTTAAATTATTTTAAAGAATAGAATTTAAGAAAAATAAAATTATTCAAAGGAAAATAAAATGTATAAGGATATAGTATTTTATAACTTTATAAAATAAAATTTAACCGATTTAATAATTAATCCATATATTAAAAATCTCTACATTAAATATCCATCTTGTAAACATTTTTGTATTAAGGAGTCCTATAACACCCAGTAGTTACGCCATGAATTCAGGCGCGTACGCAGGAATTTGGTATGAGGGGGGGGGGTAATAAATTTTTTTAAGAAATATTATTGTTATTTAAAAATATCAAACATAAATTTATTAGGACTAATAACTATTTAATATACAATTTTAAATTATATGAATTATAAAAAAATTATATATATAAACCGGCACATAAAAAACTATAAAATAAATGTGAATAAAAAAATATAAAATGAATATAACCACCATATGAATCATGATCCAAAATAGAAATTTGAATTTTTTGCGCCTTTAAAATTTATATTATAAAGTAAAAAATTTTAATGTTGGAAATATAAATATTAATACACAAAAAGTTTCTTAGGAATAATTGTATTTTGTATTATATTTACAATGTAAAATTCAATCTTCGTTGGTATTGAGCTAATTTTTCAATTACTCATCCTTGCTTGGCGTCAAATGCTTATAAATATTTAAAAGATCCAAACCATTCAATCCACTTTCAGAAGTTGTACTTCTTAGGTATGTTTTCAGAGAACTGCAGGCCCGGTTACAGGGCCGGACCGTATTTTAATTTTTTAAATACACCGGAGCAGGGCCCAAAATTTTTTTAAAAAAAAACACCGGGCCGGGCCTGATTTTTTAAAAAAATAATTATCCGGGCCCGGCTATATATTTTAAAACCAAATATTTGAAATTAGCTATAAAAATCAAAAATAAATATAATTTATTTAAAAATATCCGGGCCCTGAAAAATTTAATTTAAAAAAAGTCAGGCCAAGCCTGAATATTTCTTTAAAAAAAACCCGGGCCGGGCCGAAAAAAAATTTTGAAAAAAATCCAGGCCGTGCCTTGCAAATTGTATCTCTACAGGGCTCTGTTATTCTTCTTAAAAAAGAGAATGTTCTTTTTTAAGTGTATTCTTGATATCCATAGTAGATATTGAATTGTATAAAACGATAGAATAAGTATAAAAAAAAATAATATTTAAATTATTCAAAATTTCTTTATTTTTTATAAAAATTATCCCAAAAATGCATAATGATTCAAATTCATAACAAAAAAAAGAATGAATCAAAATCCATAAAAATTGTATTTTAAAAAAAATATATTATTATAATAATTATTATTTTTTTTACATTAAATAATAATAATTTTTTTTCTCCAATCAGATGTCTACAATCCATCTGATTGACATTTGAGGCTTATATATATATATATATTCTATACATATTAGAACAGTTCTCTCATTAGGTTAATAATGGGAAGAGTTGCTAATATATATATATATATAACCATTTTAATACAGTGGGAATATAATCTAAAATGTGTTTGAAATTATACAAAGCATCCATAGCATTTTTTGGGACTATATCTCTTTTAAACATAGTTATTTAGTTAATATGGCATCAAACAAATATTTTTTTTTTTTCTATCAACATCTGAAAAAGATTGGGAAGGCTTTTGTGGAAGTAATATCTGCAGATTGGTAAGTGCTGCACGATGAATTAAAAACCATTCATTTATTTGGATTATAGTTTTATAATACTTTTCTACTGATCTTATACTAATGTTTTGACGATGAGTTTGCCTTGCTGCAAATCGAGTGAGACAAATATTAAACACGTATAGCTCTCCTTTTGACTCAACAATAACATATAAAATTGAAATTCTTCATCAACATTAGCCCTAATTTCCTTGAGTTCTAATAAAATGCTCTCCGCTATTCTCATCTTCTTAATCAAGTCAATGCGATGTTTTTGAAAAGTATTACATAAAATAGTTGTATAATTAAATAATACATTCTAATGAGAAAAAAAAATTGAAATAAGTATTGAATCCAATAAATTTCTTGCTTCTGAGGAAATATTTCTTTCAGGCCATTGTGATATTTCAGTAATAGCATTAATAATCGGTTCTTCTAACTCCATAAAAGCTGTTACTGCTTGATGGCGGAGACTCCATCTCGTTGGACAAGCTTGCACTTTCTTTCTCTCTGTTGGACAAGGAGTTTCAGAAAAATTATTGTTTGACTAGAAATATGAAAATGGTAGATAAATATTACGCCACTAGAAATTTGAAAATAATAGGTAAATATTACGCCAATAAAAACTTGAAATCGAAATTAATTGATAAAATAACTTAATAGATGAATTTGATAAATAAATGTAATTAAATATATATTTAATATGAGATAGGAATAAATATTAACAAATATATATATAATATAAACATTAATATTTTTTTAAAATATATCCGGCATCTGCATTTTTTGGCTTTGGGGGGAATTTGTCCCCCCCCCCCCCCCGCTGCATACGCATGCATGAATTTGATACTAGTCGTTAATATACAATTAAAAGTGTTCGCACCATTGTAGAAGATAATAAAACATAGTTGATTGAATCTATATAAAAAAGATAATAGTTTAAATAATGAAGGTATGAAGTTTGAAACAAAATAACAAATTTTATGTTTTCCTTTATTCTCCTTCATTAATTATAAAATAATAAATTATAAAGTAAAAATATACTAAATTAACATTATAAAAGGATTATAGTAAAAACTTAAAAAAATTAAAGTTAAAAAATAAAAAAGAATTTCCAAAAATTAATATTCACAAAATCTCAAATATATCTTTTCTTTAATCCTCATTTACATGTCTATAATATTAAATATTAAATCTATAATATATATAAAAGCCTTGTATATAATTATATTAATTTCCTTATTTTTTTTTAATTTTTATTATTTATGTACTCAATAAAAAATTTAATTTTGCCAGATGTGGGTTTTGTATATTGTTATCATGGAAACAGATTTGGGATTTAGATTTATTAAGAATGAGTCTTTTAAAATTGGCTTCAAGAAATTGAAAACCAATTATTTTAGGAAGAGCATCACAGATTGTTCCATCATTCAAGATGCCAAATAATTATATCCTAATCAAATTTAGATTTAAGATAATGGATGTGATAATCAATACCAAGGTAAAATAAACGAGGACGTTTTCCCCCTGCTGGATCCTTTTGTCAGAATCTATGACATGTGGGCTGAATAAAGAAGTTTTATTTTACCGTATGTTTTTAGGAATTTTGAATAAACATTTGGATAAAAACAATTTATGAAATGTTCACAAAATTTGCTATTGAAAGCATTTTTAAAGTCTACTTTGATAATAGCCATATTAGGAGGAGGATTTTGGAATACAAATGGCATGTGAAGCTATGCCTTCTCTCTTAACATCAAATCCTAAATAAGTATACTTAATAAGTTAAGACCCTGGTTTTGACCCATGGTAACTATTTTAGCTAATAATCTTCTAAATAGCCCATTGCAATGTGGTGGATACCCGCACAGTGTTTATGAGATAATCAGGTTTGCCCCCCTGATTATTCGAATCTTTTATGGCAGGTCTTTTTTTAAAAGACTATTTAGGAAGGTTTTAAAAGCATTTAAATGATTCTTTGAGAAGAATGTAGATTTTATACGAAGTGAGAGAGCAAAAACCATTACGTCTGGATGTGGAAAATTTCTTAAAAGAATTGATAACTATTATAACTTACAAATCATATTTTTTTCCCCATATTTTTCATAATATATTTGGCCTTTTCTCTAAAAATTTATAGAAATCTTGGATGAATACGGATAATCTATTCCTCTCATTTGACTATTATTCTGATTCATCCATCGTCAAATGAAGGTAAAATTTATTATTTACGGAGAAAATTCTGATTACCCGTCATTCTTGACGGGCTATCAGCTAGTATTAAATAATATCTTAATAATTCTTCTAATTTGAATAAGACACATTTCTTTTAAAAGTATTCATCTGAATATTACAACAGTTAAATTAATTATTATTCAAGTTTTTTTTAAATTTAATCTTTGACTGTTTTCTGAATATATCCAGGCGCATAACATGCGGGGGCTAAAAAATGCAGAATAAATTATGAGGAAATATGAAAGGTTTTCTTGATAACAAAATATTCTATTACAAATAGGTTATATTTTATTTTAAATTTTAGCCAAAGAAAAAATTTAGATTATCTTCCATGTATATTAATATTTTTACCGACGAAAATTTTATATTTTCTACTCTTTTAAAATCTTAATGGGGATTCGAGCATTATTATAAAATAATGTTATAAAATAACCGCTTTTATTTTACTTTTGAATTTTGACTCAAATCAATGAACGATTTGTAATTTATCAAATTACTCTATCCAATTTACAAATACTATTAGCTAGAAATTAATCCGCCCCACCCTTATCCTATATAAAATTCCTTGTGACGCATAAATATTTTAATTTGATTGTAAAAAATTTTAAATAATTTTCTATTGCAACTCGAAATTATATTTTATTTAAAGTTTAGTACACAAAAAGGGTAATGAACATGAGTTGAATAACAACGTTGAAGTCGATAAGGAAATAAAGCATCTGCCAATGAATGTAAACAAAAACTCAATCATTAATCCTTACACAGATGATAAATTAAATGAAGATTTTTCAAGGTACGATAAAATATTTAAAGACTCATCCTATAAAAAACATGATAATAATTTGATCAGATTTTTTAACTATATAATTGAGCCCATCAAAAAGATCAATAAAAGATATACAATGGCGTTTTTAACTAGTATTGGATTTATGATATCTTTCGGTATACGCTGCAATTTTGGAGTAGCTATCGTCCAAATGGTTAACAATTCTACTAATCCTAAAGATCGTAAAGAAATAAAAGTTTGTTTTTAAAATTCCCTTAATTATATATTTTATTTAGTTCCTCCTTCGTCTTAATTTTAAATAGACCTGCTGGCCGGCAGGCAAGTAGGTATTCAGGAAGGAAGGAAGTAAGGAAGGAAGGAAGGAAGGAAGGAAGGAAGGAAGGAAGGAAGGAAGGAAGGAAGGAAGGAAGGAAGGAAGGAAGGAAGGAAGGAGAAATAAATACACCCAGCTCGCTCGAATTGACCCGTGATGATTTTAAAAAGTGAAAATGAATTTCATGGTCTATCGTAGGAATATAATATACTTCCTTCCCCTTTAAAATATTTAACTTATGGTAATATTTTAGATCCATAACATTTTTAGGCACAGCATTTTGGCTAGTATATATATATATATAAATCGCTGGATTGTAATGAGTAATGTTGTTAAAAGTCTCGATTAGAGCCGATTTTTAAAAACGGCTAACTCAATATTTTACGCAGAATAATATTACGCAAGCCTGAAGATTTTGCTCATAGAAGACACAAAGGTCAAGACATATATTATCAAAATCTCGAGGCTTAGGCAATATTTATTTTGGCTAAAATATTAAGTTAGCCGTTTTAATCGGCTCAAATCGAGCGTTTAACAACACTGGTAATGAGAGAATAAATATCGCTTTTTTTTCGTCCGTAAAATTATTTGCAGGAAAATGTGCTTCAAGTATTAGAAAATAATTAGTAAAATTTTCCCCGAATTGTAAATGTCATCGTTGATAAATATTTTTTAGAAGTTTCACAATTTATCACATATTTTTTTATATATAATTTCGCGAAAGAATCTCCATTATTTTAAATTGGAATAACATTGACATTCTCTTAAGAAATATATTCTTGCGCTATTTTCTTCAATCAATTTTCTCAGGTTCTTCTTATCGTCGCCATTGTTATATTTGGCTTTTTTTTAACATTATTTAACATTAATTTTTTTTCATAATTTTATTTTCACAAATACCAAATTTTTACAAAGGAAAAAATACTAATTTTTTTTCCTTTTTCTAAAAAAATTTATAAATAATTTACTAAAATAGATAATAATCTTTAAAAAAAAATAAAAATCGATATTCATATCAAGAATTCTAAGTGGGAGTTTTCCTATAAATTTTATTAAGATTAGGTTCAATTATTACAGACCTTTGGGAATATTACATTTTTTATAAATTTGGGTTTTAACTTCTATTTTTTTTAAAAATTAATTATTTTTTTCTGAAAATTAATTTCATTTCTTGTTCTTGTAAACGTTCCTTTTTTATCAGGACAGGTAAGAAATTTATCAATTATTATGCTCTTCTTTTAATAAATTCATCAATTTAACTATATGTCCTACATAGGGCTTTTGTAAATTCTAGACTTTGCCTAACTGCCCTAGGTTTTTAGTAAGTTTTTAAAACTTATTTTATTTATATGGGTTTTTTTTAATTTTAAAAACTTTATTTTGCCATAAGCGTATTCCTATATGTATAGAGTACCTGCTCTAAGAATTTAGCTGCAAAATTTAGATTTATACTTTACCTTGTTTTATAATATTTTTTATAAAAATTAAAAAATAGACAAAATTTACAGCAAAATTTATGAAATTCACAGGGTAAATACTCTATATATTTAATAAATACGATTCCTGCAAAATCAGATCTTTCAATAAGCTATAAATGATTTAGGTTCCAAAAATTAGCTTGTGACCTGATCCTACAACATATACATTTTTATATCACTTTTAACTATACTTTATATAATTTTTTTTTAGTAAAACCTAAATTATTATTTTTGGAACTACCCTATAATTTAGCTGCAGTATTATGCATGATATAAAATTTCCATGAAGTTCTTATTAATTAGAATTATGTCGTATTGGGATACGGAATCATGTGGGATTAGGAATTTCAACGTGGGGATTCAAGCTCCCACGTTTTATTTGGAATCTTTTTTTTAAAATTATTTTTTAAAAAATATTCCGAATCCCCATGTTAAATTATATTTTTTTTCTCCCTTTTTTTGCCGTGTGGCTGGCACCATAAAATTTATTTAGAGATATTTTATTTGTTATAATAAATTAAATGATATAGAATATGAAAAAGGATATAAATAAAATGCCAAAATAAGGGATTTAAAAAGAATGTTTAAAAAATAAATAGTATAAAATAATGAATGAAAAGGGATAAAGTTAAGAAGACATTTTTGTTTTTGTAAATTTATATAAAATCATAAATATTTTCACAATATATATTTTTAAAAATCCGAATTAAAAAAAATTATTTATTGCAACAATTATTAAATGCAATATGACATTTCGTTGAACATTTAAGGTTGTTCTTGAAACACGCACCTTTTATTCTACTGTGAAGCTCCTGAATATTTTTAACAGTTGAAATAAAAAATAAATATGTTTTATGTACATGAATTAATTTGGGGAGTATATGTGGTCACTATAAAAATAGTTTAAATTACCTATGATTGATATATTTTGTTGGGAACTTCAAAATCATTTAATTTCATATTTTACAAACTAGAGGCAATAAATGGTGTTGAAATTCTTTCAGCACACGTCCGGCTAGAAGTTGAAAGTTTAATATATGAACATGAATTGAAGATGCCAATTTATTAAATATAATCAAAATCTAAAATAACATAAATAAACTAAAACGTAAAAAATAAAATCAAAGTCAAACTAAAAATTATATAAAAAAGATTTTCCTTTCTTTTTCTTCTTAATATTACATTTTTTTTCTCTATATTTATACTACTAAAATTTACTTATCATTGAATTTATATAATTTTCCTTTAATTTTCTTAAATTTTAACTTCGATTAACTTTACATAAACATTTTTTTTTACACAATTTATATTCAAATTTCTTTAAATTTATAATTAATTCAATACACGTAATCGACAGTTCCTTGTCACAATAAAATATAAATTATTAAAATCATTGATAAAGATATTGTCTTGAGAATCAATAATTAGATGTGAATGAATTATTACGCTCAAATAAAAGAATTAATTGAAAATAAAGTATAAAAAAAAATAACAAAAATTATGAAGGTGCACAATTCTTTGTTTATTTATAGTTCGGGACTTAATGCGGAGCTTAGATCGGTGCTTATTTGTATTTCACATAATGAGAATTTAAGGGCCATACTACGATATAAATATAATTGAACTTATAGCCCATAAATTTCAATCGAGAAATGTTAGGAAATTTGGCAAAAACTTGAAGGAGGAATGATCTAAACAACGATTAATGTCAGTAACAAGTCATGAGATGGCAAGGAAATTTAAGAAAAGTTTTAGATGGAGAAATAGAAAGTAAAGAGATATTCAACAACACAAATCTTGATTATTTTAATATTGAGATATAATTAAATGACGTCTTTTCCAAAGTTTTGAGATCGTAATGTTTCTTGGGTAGAAGATATCTTCTTTTCTTTACGAGGAATTTATTGTTTGAAGTCACCTATTTCTATTTTATTTTTCCGATTAGTTTTTCTAACATGTCCACTCCTTAGGAATTATTATTGTGCCCACAGTCTGGAACTGAAATCTCTCTTGTCTTCATACTTTTAATACGATTAAAAAGTTTCCGCTCGCCTTTTAATTCATCTTTTCTTCTTTGCAACTACTTGACTTCTAAGTACCTTTTGATTACTACATTTACATTGTTATTTCCAACTATAAGTTTTTGAAGTGGTGACAGTTTTGGGGAAAAATAGGGAGAAAAACTGTTTTTTATTGTTAGTTAACTATGACTTAAGGTCTTTAACTATTTTCTTGGATTACAACGACGTCATCTGCTTTGAATATTATTCTTTTTTTCAAAACATAACGTCTCATTTGATCCTACATATAATAACATCGGTCGTTCCCAGTGCTTCTCTTTTGTTTTTATTTTTATGATTTTAATTATGAGCGGCAATAGTGTTTAGCCTTGTTTTACTCCTTTCTTTACCCTGGAGGAAGGGGATATTCTTCATCATTGATTTCGAAGTATCCCAGTATGTATTAGTGGTTTTCTAGATCTGAAGGATTTTGGGGTCTATCCCATATTCTGACAACGAAGCTGCATGGTTATTATCAAAAGCTATGCTAAAATCTACAAATGTGAAGTAGGAGAGTGTCTTTGTACATGTGTTTCTGCATGATTATTTTTCTGAGCCAATTTTGGCTCCAGTATATTTTTTTGTTTGGCACTAATATATGTATTTTTGGAGAAAAGATGAGGTGTAGATGATATGTTTGTGGTTTTTTTTTGAGATAACCATAAAAATTATTTTATGACACAAGATGTGAAGGCAATAGATCAGTAACCCTTAAATTTCTGTAGTTTTTGGTTTTTTTTGGGAAGTTTCATAGGTAGGATTTGTTCCATTCCACTCCAGTAGTTCCGCTCTCCCATATTTTATTGAAAGGGGCAAATAGGTAGCGAGATATTGTCGTAGGTGCAATCTTTTGGATATTCTGCTGTGATATTATCCAGCCCAGGAGCTTTGTTTTTTCTTAGCTTTTTTACGCTTGTTATTTTTTTGATGGAGAAATCAATAGCAAGTGGGGTGAGGTTGGTAATTAGATTTGTTGGTAAAGTTGCTTTCCGTGGTTGTTAGACTATCATATAACAATCAAGCCATAATGCCATTTGTTAATCCTGGTTAACAATTACTCTTTCATTTTCTAAAACTTAGAGAACAGTTTCTTAAATCTGCGTCATAGATCTGTTCTCTCATATCTTTATCAATATCAAAGACTTTTTCTCTATATTAATCTGTTTATCACTTGGTAGAGCTCTGTTTTTCCGGAACCTAAAAAAAAACTTCGTGAAACAGGATGTGTGGTGTTCGCTGCTTATCTATTCACTGGAATTTTCACGCTCTATTTCAACAATTTGCGGTAAACCGATTAGTTTATTTTATTTTTTTATGAGTATAATTCGAAATTCAATTGATATGAACCTATTCTCAATTATTGATAGTAATCATTAAGGCTTACATTAAAGATGGTAGACTTAAAATCAGCCATCACCCACCCTTAAAGTAATTAAATTATTTTTGCTGTTCTCGGGTATAGGCTTTTGTTTTGCCCAATTCTTTTTGTATTAGCCTTAAACAACAGTTCTCGGACTGTTTTGGGTACAAGTACGTGCGGCTTGCCCACAAACGTGAGAAGGGCTCCTGATTCCCCCCCCCCCATAATTAACTAACCAGTTTGATGGATTTTCTAGATTCTGTTATATCCGCAACCAGAGGGTGAAAAACGCTTTTATCACGTATCACATATTTATGATTATGCTTTGTTTTTAAATTCTACCACTCAACAACAAGCATTATTGTTGATAAAAAAAATATTATAACTTTTTACATCAAACTAAAACTAGTAATAAATTGAACAAAAACTAGGACAACTAAGTAATTTCAAAACTTAATTTCTTTCATACTTATATTCATTATATTTTAAAAAAATATTTGTAATTATTAATGTTATTACAATATAATATTTTTACTGTTTGTTTATTGATTTAATTAAACAATTGTAACAAGACCTAACCTTGTATTGTTTAAAAAGCCCGACTTGGTCCCATTTTAAAAACGGCCCGATTAAGATTTTAACCAAAATAAGACTATGTATGGCCTGGAGATTTTACTCATAGATGACAGAGAGGTTTGGACGACTATTCACCAATTCTCGAGGCTTAATCGAGCTGTTTTTAAAAATCGACACAAATAGAGCTTTTTAACAATACTATACCTCTTTAATAATTTTTTATAGTGAATATTTATTTATATACCTAAAATACTTTATGCACTCATATTCTGTAGTCTTCATACCCCTTGATCAACTTCTGTCTTAAAGCACAATCAAGGACTGTTTAGAAGAACTTTTTAACATCAAATTGTCCCTCTTGTCATGACCAATTTTTTCCTTCCAAAATTAGGGGAATCGGAATCCTATCCCCAATTTTATTATCACTGGCAGCTTTCATTTGATCACGCCACTCTTCTTATTAGTTAATAAACCAATTAACATTTTTACTAGACCTAAATCTTCAGAAGGAATTTACCAGATGGGACAATAATATATTACCCAATACTCCTAGTCCAACAAACATCCTCCAAAAGGTTTGGAACTTTTCACTAATTGCATGTTCCGTCAATTTTCACCTTTCGAACCCTCTATCAGAGGAACTTAAATTTTCTTTTTATCAATAATAGATTTGAATGGCTCGATGCTACCCCATGTCAAAACTTATATATATGTCTCTATCCTGAATAACTCAGAACATCATTAGGGTTAGGTCTTAATTGCAATATCGTCACACCACACTCACTGACCTTTTGCGCTCCGGTTGACAGTAAAGGGAATAACTTCTTACACTGTAAATTTTCTAACGACAGAAACCCCCGCCTTTGGACAATAACAACCTAATCAACAAGACGCTATATCAGTCAATATTTATTCCATCTTAGAGCTAGCCGGACAAAATATTTTCATCAATAAAAAACCAAACCATGTCACTCTTATACGCCTTGGTCGAAAGGCAATCGATGCGTTTGTAAAATCGAACACGCAATACGCATCCATTGCAGCCACCGAATCATACAAACGTAGCTATTCCTAACCAAAAAACATATTTATTTTTTACCCTTTGTTCCATCACATTAGGGTACTTCGGTGAATAAGTGATTCTATTTTAAAAACTTTAGATAAAAGGCTAATCACTATAGATTCTAAAGAAGCTCATTTTATCTTTATCCACAACTCTATGCCCGACAATATATTTTTAACCCCCCCCCCCCTTCTCCCCCCCCCCAACCCACTTCTATATTATTTAATTTAACATATATATTTAAAAATTATATTTTAAATTAAATTTATTTATATTGACACTAAAAATATTTAACATTTTGTGCTCTATATATATATACATTTTAAATTTACATTTTTACATATTAAAAATAATAAGTTTTTTAAAAGGTTATATAAAAAAAGAATTTCGACAAGTTCGTCCTACGAAAAGGTCATTTAATTTAAAAAGAAAAAAATATAAAGTTTATTCAAAATTTATATATTAACAATAAGTTTTCATATATTTTTTAAACTTTTTGACAATTTGAAATTGAAAATATAATAAATTGAAAAAAAGGCTATTATTAAACTATGTGAACATTTGAAATTGAATAAAAATTGATTAAAGATTATAAAAATTTGGGGTTTGACTAAAGAATGCTTAGGTGAATTAGAAATGCCAAGGTAAACATCAAATTCTTAGGCAAAAATTTTATTCATAATTTGTAATAAATGACTCAATTAAGTAATACTAAGCATAATTTATATTAAATGCATATTTTTTTTAACATTAAAAATCACTTTTAAATGTATAAGAACATAAAACTCTAAAATAAAATAGCTTCCTAGGTTTCTTTCTTTTCTGAAAAAACACGAGGGGCTGAAGGATTCGGTTTATTATGGTTCACAACTCTTAGAACTAAACAGTTAATAATTTAATTATATTTATATCACAATATCTATACTGCATTAGGTTGCCGAATTTGACTGGACTCCCGAAATAATTGGTCTTATAGATAGTTCTTTCTTTTGGGGTTATTTAATTACTCAGATACCAGGGGGAATGTTAGTACAATATTTTCCAGCGAACAGGTAATATCAAATATCATAATATTCGTTTGATGTCACTAACATATATTGTGTATAATCAATATAGTTTTTATTTATCTAGAATATTAAATTAAGGATGTTAACTTAAAACCATATACACTTCATATATCAAATTATTTCTAAATAATAGAGGAGACCATAGCAAATCGATGCCAAGGGCACGTAGATAAATTTTAATTTATATTAAAAATAGTGTTTTTAAACGGCTCTATTTGAACCTATTTTTAAAAACCTCAAAATTTTATCCAGAAAAATATCACGCAACCCTGAAGATTTTGTTCATAGATGACCTAAAGGTTTGGATATATATTAGCGAAATCTTGAGGCTTTTTAGAAGAAAATCTGAGTTTAAGTTTATTAATTAAAATGCTAGATTTTTATCATTACAAATTACATGTAGTTTTTGTAGACATCATCAGGTAAGTTCTTTTTTAACAAGGTAGCCTTGAGTCAACTACGTTGCCTATTTGCTTAGGAAAATTTAAAGTTGCACCTGTTTTTCTGTTATTCAAAATAGAAATTTAACCTATATTGTCACTGGACATTTTATTTTTTTACCATTATTTTAATTAAATATATTCTTTTATATTTAATATAAAACATTTTTTACAAACATTCGCAACAAATCTCTCGTGGCAAAATCTGCCCTCTTTTACTTATAATTAAATCTAATAAATATTTTGTCTCCTAATCTGTTATTATCCTAATTGTTTAGAAAACGATTTTAGTATAGAGGAGACTGGAGCTAGTAAAACTGATTTTGCAAAATCGGCTATAGCTCCTATGTTTTATTAGATATTATAAAATATTATAAATAGCTACCTAAACTATACTCTATAAAGGTGCCGCCTTATAAAAAATTTAAGAATATATTTATATTTGTGAAATTTTATTTTCTGTAAAGTTGATATCTTGTCAAACAAGCCTCAATAGGGAAGTTAGACAAACCACTAGAAGAGATCTCCTAAACCATTAGTTTTTAGTATCTAATGAATTGAAATGCATTTTTGTTTATTAATAATGATACGTATATTTTTTTTTTGTTCAAAATGTCATAATACTTATAAATTGAAGTTAATTATTTATAAATATTGAAACATAATTTTAATTAATTTGGTAAACATTTTGAACATATAAATAATTTATCAAAGTTTAAAAACTTAACATGTGCTCATCCTCAGCACACTTTACAATGGTACTACTCTGCGCCATTATGATATTTTATATAATCCAGCTAACAACAAGGACAAATATCTATGTGAATAATTTTTTTTCCTATTTTTTTCCTGCAAATATTTCGCTTACTTGATATCTCTTGTAATATCTCACAAAGTTTGGTCTAAGAATACCTAAAATAAACATGGCAAATAAAATATTAGATTATAATAATTATAACTTAAATACTAATACAATAATATAATTCATCATATGTTAAAATATAAAAACATAAAATTTATAAATTACATTTATTAATAATATATAAATAATATTTTAATCTCTTTACCATTACCATTTAGATTTTTATTTACATAATCTCTATTATTAAATATTGTTAAAATTGATTTTATTGTTTAAAAATTACATACAATTAATACAATAATAATATACTTATCATAATTTTAATTCATAATGTTAAAATATAAAAACATCAAATTTATAAATTACATTTAAATTAAGATATAAATAATATTTTAATCTCTTTACCATTACCATTACCATTTAGATTTTTATTTACATAATCTCTATTATTAAATATTGCTAAAATTTAATTGTATTGCTTAAAAATTACATAAAATTATTGCGATTATATCTTAAAAATAAGATAGATAATGTAGATAAATTCACCAGTAAGTTGGCTATGATCCATGTTGATTTACAATCTTGATATACCTTAATAGCCTTACATTATAATATTAATTCATCAAATTTTAGTATAATTCTAGATAATTATTAATAATAATAGATATTAATTTTATTGGATTTGTATTTTTGCACCATATCCAATAATATAATTATAATTAAAAAATTCAATTTAAATTAGTTTAGCAAGCCTTGCTAGCTCTAAATTTACTAATCATGATTGAAATAATATCTAGACATAATAATAGTCATAAAACTTTCTCAAATTATAAAAGAGTGTTAAAACTTTGCTATAAAATTTAATTTACATATTAATGATTATATACTTTAATATAATACAAATCCAACTAATATTACAGATAATTTTTTAATTCTGTTATGTAAAAATCTTTTACATTTTTTAAAATTTTATTTCTTAAATAATGTAAACTAATAAAGGCTATATTAGGATAAAATTTTAACCTTCTGATGTAATTAATTTTAAAATGAGATTCAGTGGTTTGCCAAGCCCTGGTTTTTACCTAACCTCAGTCTTCCCTACGTTTTGGAAAATAATATTTATACAATATTCTACCTTTTTTACAAATCTTTAAAATTTTATTCAACTTTTTATCATATATAATATATGAGAATCTGCAATTTTCATTTTTAGAATTTTTCTTAGAGAGTTATCCGCAAAAAGGAACTTTTATTTTCATGGCGAAAAGTTTAGTTACATAGGCGTTGTTTTATTATGAATATTTTTTAATTACTTATATTTTAATTTACATTTTATGATATATTTACTTTCTATGTTTATGTCAATGTACGAAATAACAGGGGTAGCAAATTTTTTAAATAAAAAGTAAAAGTAGCCTATGTGGCCTGCCACTGCCACTATGCAAAAATAAGTGGACAAGGTAAACTTTAACATTTTATTAATTTTAAATATCAAGAATATCTTTAAAATTATATTATTATAATCATAGTAAATATAAAATGTATACTCTCATGGCAAACCTTTATGCAAAGTCTCTGAATGATTAAAATTAAAAAGGAATGCTGAATAACGTTTTAAACCAAATGATTATAACGCTATATAAGATGGTGAATAAGTTAATATGCCTAAGCATTGTAACTTACAAAAAACAAAAATTTAATTTAATAAAACTTTAAAAAGGGGAGGCAGGAGGCTAATACTAAAAGACTGAAAAAAAAATACATGTTTAAAAAGAAAATCAAAAAACAACTCAAAAATTTTAATATAAGAACAGGTAAAAATTAAGATATATCTGGCTAAAAATTATAATTGTGGAAAAATGCAAAATTAGATGAAATTTAGAAAAATCAAGTCTCAACAAATAAAAAAAGCAAGGGAAAAATATTAATACTTTTTAAAAAAAATCATAAAATAATTCAAAGTGGAGAACATATACTAAAGTAGAGACCTGCAGAGATACCGATTGCATGACGGATTTAAAAGAAAAAATTTCGTCCCTCCATAGCTAAGAATTTTTAAAAAAACTTCGATTCGGATTTTTTTTAAAAATAATTTTCGGCCTAGGTTCATAAATATTTTCGACGGCCTTAATTTAAAAAAAAATTAAAATATACTTATTCGGCCTTGTACGGATCGTTTTTAGCGAATATGAAATCCATATATAATAAAATGGAAATAGGAAATATGCAGAGTTGTTAATCGCTACTTTTAAAGGTAGCGCTCTACCGCTATCACTATTTGTCAAAAAAAAGTAACGCGCTATTAGCTACTATTTTTTAAAAGTAGTTTTAGCTACTTTTTATAAAAAAAATTTAGAAACAAATTTGTTTTATTTTTTGCTTATAATGTTATTGTATAGTAAATATATAAAAATCAACATTTATAAATATTAAAATTAGTTTTGATTATAAAAAAATTTATGTAGTAAAAATAAATATTTATGGTAATTTGTTGCATTTTATAAGTTTTTACCTTGTGTTATGTGTCCAACTATCTGCCGTGGTACATATATATGATATCTCTGATAACTCTACTATTAGAGCATCTTTCATCACTTTAAAGTTATCTGCTATTTTATTCATTAGTGTCTGGCGACATAAAATTGTTGTACCAGGGGATAGAGTTTTAAACATCATGGTAAATGATGGATAATCAACCAAGGACATTGGCTGAATTGTATCAATTATAAAATCAACAATAACTTTATCAACCAATTTCTGAGAAATATTGGAATTTGTATTATTAATTAATTTGGTTTGAATTAAATTGGTCTTTTTGGATGTAGAGTCGCCTATACCAAAATTATTTAGATGTTTCTCCATTTCCTTAAAACTATTGCATGAACAGTCTTATAAAATAAATACTATTAGAATGCAAAAATGACAATTTACCTTTAGATGTTTCTTGAGGTTATAACTGGATTGATTAGGGGAAATATTTTTTTTTACATTCAAATAAATTTGAAGCCAGTTTTGGTTTTTATATTTATTTAAAAAAATTTTTCAAATCTAGGTAATGGGAAATTTGTATTATAGCTATTAAGAACATTTTCTTCCCTGGTATTCCAATTCATTAATATCATTGTCTGAATCACTTTCAATAATTTGAATATCTATAGGCGATGAAATTTTAAATTATTAACTGATTTAGGTTTATAATACAAACGAAAATATAAATTACAAATTGAGAATATATTTCAATTTCAAAAATAAATAATAAATCATAAAAATTATAATTAATTATGATATTATATTTAAATTTTCATGTTTATACTTACCTTCATTATATTTTTTGAAAGTAGCGAAGTAGCGCACTACTTAGCTACTTTCAAAAAAAGTAGCGCGCTAAAAAATTAAATAATTACAAGAAAAGTAGCCGCTATTAGCTATAGCTACCGAAAAAGATGCGCGCTCTACTTTAACAACTCTGGAAATATGATAAGATCATGAATGTGATATATTGTTCTAAGATAACAATATAATTTATATATAATAATGACGATTTAAAATATTAGTCCGGTCCGGGCATTTTTTGAAAAAATTTAGGCTCGACCCAAGTATATTATAGAAAATATTTCGGCCTACCCCAGGTTTATTAAAAAATAATAATTTACCGGGGTTAGGATAGGGCCGGGCCTGTAGGTATCTGTATAAATGTAAAGGAGAAAAGTCAATTTAATATTTAAAAAAATTAATAAAATACTCCAAAACCTGGGGGAAAAGTCATATAACATAAATTACCTTATTTCTATATTAGTTAGCAGTTGTGTATTAGCTAGCCAATGTACCAATGGCTCCTACACACCTTCTAGACCTTTAAAGCAAAATACCCGCTTGGAAAATATACGGCATAAAGCAGTAATATATATAATATTTAATTTCCCTTATTATTTATTTGTTTTTCAGGGATCCAAACCGAACCTGAACCGAACCGTTAAACCGCTAAAAACCTGTATTTTTTATCGAACCTAAACCGAACTAAACCACTAAAATAATTTCTAGCCGAACCTGAACCGAACCGCTAAAATGCCTCTGAACCGGTTAGAGCCTCATGATTTTATGCCTATAAAATAATATGTAAATTATTACTAGTATATTGTAAAAATTTTAATTATATTTGAATTGTTTTAAAGATTATATTTGATTGGTAATTTTTATAAACTTTAGTATATTGCTATTTTACAGCATTTTTTAAATATTAAGCTTATAAATTATAATGCCTAGTGAAAATTAAATCCAATATATAAATTATTTATATATAGTATTATAAATGACACATCAAAATGTAATATCACTGATTGTTTAAATATGAAAGGCCATCATAAATCTTGAGCGTCACAAAAAAAAATCACCTTCTAGAATTTGATAAAATTAACAAAATATCACAACAAAAGCCTAATAAAATAAAAAAGTTTAAGATGTCATCAAGCCAACAGACGATAGAAGAAGCATTAAAAAAAAACAATATCAGTAAAACTAAATAAAAAAATAATAATCGATGATTGTACTGAGTTGGTCACTTTTAATGGCAGACCATTCAAATTAATCGATGATAGCGGTTTTAAAAAAATTCTTGATACTATATTAGACGACGTAGGTAAAATTAAAATTAATTCTAAAATTATTCAATCTAATGTTGCAGAATAAGCCTTAAGTATTTGGCAAAATATAATCAAAGAAATAAATATTAGTTAATTTTTCTAAAGAACCTAGGTTAAATAAAACTATGAATATTTTAAACTATTAGAGAAATCAGAGTAATCGATGCCCAGAATTATGTATATTGTTTGATATCATACTGGCAGTGCCAGCTACCCAAGTTAGTGTGGAAAGATGTTTTCAACAATTTAATTTATACTATCTCTTTATAGATGTAATATGAGTGAAAACGAATCTTGAAAATATATTAATTGTGCGGCCTAATAAAAAATTTTAAGTAAATAAAGTTAAATATTTGTTCATATTAAAATTAATCATTGATATTTATTTGTATGATTTATAATTTAAATATTATTTTATATTCTGCAATTAATTAAAATGAAGGTTTTATGTATGTTTTTTATTTTAATGATGAAATAAAAAAAATATACCTCCCTATACATAATTCGAATATAGATTTGAATACAAAAATGTTTAAACCGGTTTTTAGAGGTTGGAACCGAACCGATATATTTATTTTTTACGAACCGAACCTGAACCTTGAATCGTTATTTTTACCCGAACCTGAACCGAACCTATATTTGTTTCGGTTTGGATCACTGGTTTTTCTTGAATTAAGTTTTTATTACTTTTAGGTTAAGATTAGTATGTGACATCGAAACAGTATTAGGCTATATTTAATTAAAATGTCCTTGGTATTTTTCTAAATATGAAATATCTTTGAAAGCTCTAACTACATATATTTTTCAAGTTAGGGATGAATGTTCTATCCTATCACAATCAATCAATTTTATAATTTCTTATTATACTATGACATATACATTGATTTATTAAGCCTTTATTTTTTGTTTGACGCTTTTAGACATTATTTGAATTTGATATGAGAATAAATGGGAGGTAAAAAAAATGACTAAAGATTTACTATTTGATTTTTTAGAATATACAGAACGAATGAAGTTCAAAGATCTGTATTTCATTTTTAAATTTGAAATACTAAAATCTATTTTTTTTATTTATTTTTAAATCTAATTTTTTTTTAATATTTACCCTCTATTTCATAAATTTTAATGGTACAAATAAATTTTCAATAAAAAATATTATGAGGGTGGGGTTACTACAAGAGGTACTTTGATATAATTTGACAAAATTGTTCTAATGTATTTAACGCCTATCAATTCCCTCCCCTTCTCTCGTCGTTGTAGGAGGCACTGGTTTAGTTAGCTAGCTTACATATTAACTAGTTTGTTTATTAGCTAGCTAGTATGTACTAAATTTGTCTAATAGCTAGTTGGTTTGTAAACTAGCTAAGTTTTTATGTTAATTATACTTATAAGTTTATATATATATACCATTATAAAATTTAATATTAATTTATAAATAAATATTTTTAATACATTCAAAATTCGGAAATAAAATATAAAAGGGCTTAATAAATTATGTTCATTTTCTTTCACACTTCATAAATAATCGTCAATTTGATTTTAATATTAAGTTAAATCCATACTTCGTCTAGCAGCGTTTATTTTATCTGGCTATTTATAAGATACCGGGATAATTCCTGTGTAATAAAATTCCATTCCATATATCTCTAGTAGTAAGGAGAATTTCATGATATTCCAATAAATATTTAAATTAGGAATCAATGTTTGACGTTAATATTTTTAAAATATTATTCCTTCCATAGATAACATTTTTTAGTATTTCAAACATATTAGAAGTCTGAAAATAGTAAAATTTTTATGCCCGGCCTGACCCTGTTAGAATTTAGCATTTGCCCGGCTCGGATGTCTATCTACTAAAAAAAATTTAGTCTCGAAGGCGACAAAATTTTTACTTTATTAATTATTAATTTTTTAACATCAATATATTTGCCCTATTTCATCTAAAAAGGTAATTGTTAACCCTCTATTAAATTTTTACCCTATTAGATGCCTACCTACTACCTTCTTTAGGTGCTTACTCCTCTTAGGAGTCTACCACCTTCAAAAAATTTGGAAGTAAACTGCTTTTGCCACCTCTCCCTCCCCTCATGTATACATGGGGAAAATACATAAAATATACAAGTTTAAAATTATCAAAATTGATTTCTAAAATGGATATAAAATGAGGGAAAAAATAAGCGGGATTAATTCCAAATTATTAAATATACAGAAATAAGTAGAAAATACTAAGGTAACAGAAAGAGGAGAAAAATTAAGTTAAAAGTCTTACAATATTTAGAATATAAATCTTCAAAACTATTTTCTAAGGAGAAGAATCAATAAATCTATAAATAAAATAATATAACTAGTTTGCAGGGGCATCACTAGCCTTTACAATCTCAAGGGGCTCAAAATTTTTTTTAAGAATGATTATTTTTTAGCTAACATTTTAAAAATAATCTTTTTACTTAGCTAATATAATTTAACTCTTCAAATTTTTGAGGTTTCGAGCCCCTAACCTATCCTTCCCTCCCTAGTGACGCTACATTTAGTTTGTAACACCTTAGTTGCTGGTATATTCTACTTAGCTAGTTTATTCTTTTAGCTCTCTGTAAACTTGCTAAGTGGGTATATTATTTTGAATCATGTAAATTTCTGTAGTATAAATTAATATTCATATCACAGTCGTATAATATATAATATTAGGATTCGAATAATTTATACAAATAATCTAATTATATTCATGAATATTATTCGAATAAATCAAATATTTGATTTGAAAAATCACATCGTTTTAGATTCTATAACATCTACATATAAATCTGATTTGAAATATAAATGAATTATCTTTAAAATTATGAAATTAAGAATGTTTGGGTTAGCCATAGCAATTTCTGCAATATTAAATAGTTTAATACCAATATCCGCTAAAATACACTATGGACTTGTGGTTATCTTAAGATGCTTACAGGGATTAGTCGAAGTATTATATACATATAAACTCATTATACATTAAAATTTATAAAGGGAGTGACATATCCATCGTGTCACGGAATATGGCGATATTGGGCTCCCACAATGGAAAGGAGTAAATTAGCAACCATTTCATTTTCTGGTACATTTGTTAATTTAATAACATCTAAATGCACAGTATAAAATTATAGGGTCATATGCAGGAGCTGTTATAGGCATGCCACTATCAGCTTTTTTAACTGATTATCTAGGATGGCAAGCATGCTTCTATTTTTATGGTAAATAAAAAAAATTCTAATGTTGAAAATATTTCAATGAAAGGTGTCATGGGAGTATTATGGTTTGTTTTTTGGTGGTATAATTCTTATGAAAAACCGGCAGATAACCCTTACATAACATACGAAGAAAAAATTTATATTGAAAGCAACATTGAAAAGATAGATTCGAGAAAAGTATTTTTTTAAAATATGACAAAGTTATATAATAGGACAAGAGCTGACAACCCGAACCCATCGAACCCTTGAGAGTTTACTGAAACCTAACCTATCTCCTAACATCTTTCTAAATTTATAATACCGGGTTTAGGAATTGTTTTTTACTTTCAATATTAAATGCGTAACACAATATATAAGTGATCTGCATCAAATTTTTCAAGCCCGGCCCAAGATTTTATTAAAAAACCCGAAATAAAATTATTTGTCAACCCTGCCCAGTACTATTTTATTTAAATAGAGAAATTAACTTTTTTTAAAATTTAGCTTACATTAAATATAAACGAAAAATTATTAAAAATATTGGCGCTCTGTGTCTTATAAAATTTAAAAATATAACCATTTTATTTTAAAAATTAAGCCCAACCCTCCTCCGCCCGGATTTTTTTAGAAAATAGATCCGGATCGGAGTTTCAACATTAATAATATATTGAGTAATACAAAGAAAATATATTATTCCTTTATCAGTTCGGACTGGACCGAGCTAAAGTGGAATTTGGCACATTATTAATTCCAAAAATCAGAGAAAACCCTAAGGCAAAGACCTTTAGCCTTCAAGATTTTCTGGTTGATCTTGGAAAAGCTATAATGTATAATATTAAAGTAGTAGTTCGAAAGAAAGTAAAATAATAATGATTATAGGTAGAAAATGTTAAAGGTATTTTAAATGTAACTATCATAGATTTAATGATCGCTATTTAAAAAAATATATTAATTATAGTCGTTCAAATTTCCGATAAAGGCTATATTTACATCTCTACCTGTTTGGGCAATAATTGTAGCCAATTTCTGTCGAAGTTGGACATTTTATTTGCTTCTACTGAGTCAACCTAGTTATTTTCGCCAAGTATTCCGCTTTGATATATCTAAAGTAATTACAATTTTTTCACACCATTATTTAAATAAAGTGTTAATAAATAAAAACTCGTAAAAGGAATAAATTGAATCAATTTTAATAAAACCTTCAATATCAATTATAATGGGCAAAATTTAATTAGCTTGATTCCATTTTTTTACATGATTTTACTAAGTTAAAACTTAGAATGAAATATTTATTGTATAACATTCTAAACTATGTCACCCACAAAGTTTAGATTATGGTAGTATTTAAAACATTTTAAAAATTTAGTTGCATGAAAAATAGGTAACGATTAATGAAAGCAGAAGTAGATATCAAAAGATATCTTACTTGATGAATATCCTGCCTAACTTACAATCGGCTTATTAGAATTTAATTTTTTGTTCAACAGTTAACTCAAAATTTCGTAGATCTTATTTTTTTTTCTTATTTTATTTAGCATGTTGGAGCCATCTCTATGTTAATTTTCTTATCTAACATATTCTTATGCTTTTTTAAAGATTTCTGTATAATAAAATAACAATGAGATAAGAAAATAAAAGGGTCATTATTTGGGTAAGACACAATATTTCAATATATTTGCTCATTCAGTAAACAAGAGGGCAAATTTTCAAATGAATTGGTCAAATTTCTTAAAAAACATTTTAGTCTTAAAACAAACACTATTATTCGATGTTGAATATTGTTAAAAAGGTTAAATATTTGACGATTATGAGGATATATTAGACCATTCTCCCGGCAACTGGGTTATCGCAGGTCTTACTGATATTGATATTAGTGTTGTTAAAAAGCCCTTCGATTTTTCAAAATGGCCCGACTAAAATATTAGCTAAAAAAATATAATGTAAGCATCGAGATTTGGCAAATAGATATCCAACCATTTCTGCCAGCTATGAGCAAAATCTTTAGGCATGCATTATGTTATTTTGGTTATAATCTTAATCAAGCCGTTTTTAAAATCGACCCTAATTGAGCTTTTTAACAACTCTAATTGATATCACTTGCCATTGACGGCACACATTAAATAAAGCAATAGAAATGACTACGTGTTCCAAAGACTAGTATCTAGACTTTAGTCAATTTTAAACCCTGTGGAATGATATCTATTTATTAGGACTACAACATAAATCAATAATAAAACTACAACCTAGATCTTTAATAAAAATCATATTCGCTGCACTTTTAACATGAAGGATGGATAGATTCACTTCATAAATTGCCGAATTGATTTCATTCAAGTTCCATGTCTATCATAAAAATATTGTGATTTGTGAAGTAGGAATTTACATTATTAATTGGGATACCTATAAAAATAACATTTGCAAATGGAAGCGACGCACCAAAATTTTATTCAGCACCGATAAATTTAATATTCATATAAAGATAAATATGAATATAAATTTAAAAGACTTTGAATCGATGTTTACAACGAGGAATTATTAAAAAGGTGCCTAAATATCGTATTAACTGTCATAACCCTTAAAGAAAGAAGATGGTTCTATCTGAATTTGATGAAATTGTTGATACACTATAAATGAATATTTTATGATCATTAATTATCAATTAATAGCAGTCCAGGATATTTCCAGTTAGATTGAACAAGTCTTCACGTATATAATAAAAGATTATTTACAGCTGGAATTAATAATATACGATACTATACCTGTTATTCTATCGTGTGTCATCAAAATACTAAATTATCGGTGCAACCTACTAAATGATAATGAAATTGCCCAAGCCAGCCTATTGCCAGAGTATAAATAAGTAAACATGTTAATATCACGGGACCCTTAATAAGCAAATGTAGTTTTCCTCTCATCGAAAGTTTTTTAAATGGGCAGAAATGGAATCTATTTATTTAATGGAATTGTTTAAAAAGGTGATAAAGTTTAGATACAATATAACACCATCGAATCGTGCCCTATCATCCAGGTTCTATAAGAAAATTGAGAAATTAGTCTAAACGTTTAAAAATTATATTTAAAAGAATTCAATAATTAATATAGAAGAATTTTTATTTGCCCATTGGAGCACTTCAGGTGATTCAGTTGAGAAATCCGCTGATTTAAAATTTTATATGGTCAGATATACAAATGGTTTAGAAAAGAGAAATCTAAATCATGTATGAAATTCTTATGCCTAGTCATAATAATATTACAACCCAGTCTAATGTAAGTGAATGGACTGTCGACCTGCCTTCAGAAATCAGATTCCTAAAACAAATGTCGCAATTTCCAATCCTCGCTTAAAATTACTATAATCTCCTCCTACAGTTGATATGGAGAGGATCAGACGACCGCCGGTTACATATTCCCCAGGAGGAAGAAAATGCTAAATTTTTAATACTTATATAATTAAATTGCTTAAATTTCACGTTCTTTTGAAATTATCATTTGAATGTTAGTTAACTCGTTATAATTGATTTTAGTTTAATAATAACTTTGTTTTTATTTATATCAATTTATATATATTTAAATTCACTTTTGAATGTCTATTTAGGTATTATTTTATATAAAGTCTGAATTTCAAGATGAACATAATAAAAAATTTAGTTCAAGCTTGGTTCGTATCTTTGTGACACATATGCATATTAAATTCAAGTTTTAAACAAGGCTAAAAATATTTTAGAAAATTTTTGTATAGCAAAAATATTTCAATATTTATTATTCTACCAAATATCCCGATAATGATTTGAATGTACTATTCAAAATAGAATTAGTACAATGATTCCCTAACTTAAGAATTAACTTAATATTATTATAAATAATTTACACCTTTCATAGATATATTTTTAACATAAAATTTGCTTTTCATACTAAAATAATTAAAAAAATTTATTTTTTATTACCAAAATCTAGAGAGCAGAAATTAGTTATCACCTAGATTATATTAATTAGTATGAAGAGATTAATTATGCTTTAGTGGGAGTTATTGAAATACAAGTAGCTACCGTATTTTGGCATAATAATTTAAGCGCTATAAAATCTTCAAATCGTTCACAAAATTTTATTGAGGGGTTGAAGAACTTTGAATAAACTTTAGGCCTTAGGATAAATGCTAAAAATTTATTAATGAGATAAATGACTTATCTATCACCACATATACTAATTTTCTATTAAAGAGTTTTAAAAGTTAAGGTAATTACGCGATAAAGTGTTAAATGTAGCCTTATTAAATATATACAAAGAACGCAGTGAGGGAGAGGGCAGGAAAGCAATTCCCCCCCCCCCTCACTTCTAACCCAAAATTTCAAATGTTTAATAAGATATTTTTCAAAAATTTTGCTGATTACTACAATGGCAATATTCCAATTTATATTTATTTATTACATTCACAGCAGAAAAAATACGCTAATAATTTATTCTATAAATCAATCTATTTCAAATTTTATTTTTAACCATCATTTTAGAATTTCCCATCAAATCATTTGAAATATTATAATTGTAAAACTAAAGTAAAATATTTCAAAAAATAAAAATAGATTTGATTGAGACTTGGGAATAGCTAAAGCATCATATTGTAACCTATGAAAATCAGGGAGTAGATGACGAATTTCATAAATTATAAGTCCTTCTTAAGTCAATGAAATTAATATGTCTGCCTCGACTCCCAGCAAGGCAAGCCCAACGCTATATATTAATATAGAGAATACTACAAAATAAATCTCTTTCCCCCTCTTGGATAAAATGAATAGAAGGTTCTTGATTAATAAAACACTCACAAATCAGTAATATAATTACCGCAGAATCCTTTGAGTTCGCCGTTTTTTAAGAATAGGCTCAAATCGAGCCGTTTAACAACCTACTGAGAACTCAATAATTATTTAGAATATTTTTGTGCATTTTAATCTATATTCTTAACATATTTTTAAAATATAATTTTAATTTATATGTAAAATTTTAAGTGCTAACAAAGTTTATATTTATTTTACAAAGTTCCATTTCGAGACATTTATTTTATAGTAATACACAAGGCGATTATATATGCTAGCTTCTAGGTTTTTTTTCCTAAAATGTGTTTTTTTTCAATTTTAAGTAATTTTCTGAGCACATTTTAAATTAAAAAATTTAATTTCGCACAGAAATGTATTCCAGCATGCTTAGAGTACCTATCCTAAATTATAGACAATTTAGCCATTAACTTCATGGGCGGGCGGATGCAAGCCTCATTCATTGCACACCTCTAATTCATACTTCATAGTAATCAACTGAATTGTCATAATATTCTATAATTTAGTGATCTGCATCGGGCCTAATATTTCAAGCTCGGCCCGGCCCGAACCCGATTTTTTTAAAAAGATTTGCCGGCCCGGCCCTAACCCGATTTTTTTAAAAAAAATTTACTGGCTCGGCCCGGCCCAAATTTATTTTAATATAGAAATTAATTTTTATAATTACTTAAAATTAAAGACATATGTTATATAGCGTTTAGTTTCAATAAATAAAATCAAAAATTTTTATTTTACATAAAAAATTCTATATAAAATTGATAAATTTAGATATATTTTAAAAAATTTCCAAGGTCCGACCCCACCCGGCCCGAATTTTTTTAAAAATATTAGGGCCGACCCGGTGCGAACCCAATTCTTTTAAATAGAATTAGGCCCGAGCCGTTCGGGACGGGTACGGGCCGGGCCTAACTTTGCAGATCTCTAATTAAAATATTATATTTATAAAATTATAATTATAAATATCGTTCTAAAATCTAAACTCGGATAACTAAAATATTTTCTAATATTTCAAGATCTTAAAGTAATTATCTACCAATAAAAGTTAAAGCATAAAATAAGTTCATTCGCCAGTAAAATAAATTGTGAATTACAAAATTCATTTGATATTGAATGGTACTAAGTGAACATTTAATTACGTATTTGATCCTGATATATCTAAAAGTATTATAATAAATTATTTATACAAATTTATATAATTCGTCATTCGTTGGAATCATATTAATATTTCAGAAACATTTATTTTAAGAAGTAATATTTCTCAGAAGGAATGTTAAATGTCTCG